GATCCAGTGAAACACTGAATGCGGAGGCTGCTGTTCTTTTCCCTGAAGTTCTAAGAAGCCAGGTAGCCAGGCTTAATCCCCTCTGAGCAGAAGGAAGAATCAAGGCCATCTGACCCAAAGAAACAACCTGGCCAGAACTCTAGAGTGACTACCGTTACCCCAGGAGCCCCACTCTGGAGCACCAAGCTTTCAAACCACTACTTTGCAGGGCCATCTGGAATGTGAACAGACAGCTAAGAAAAATACAAACACGTGGAAGAAAGAATCTAAGATGCAAGACTATCACCAAAAACAAAGAGGAAACACAGAAACAGCACATGCAAGAAGAAGAAAACTTTAAAAAAGAAAACAAATAAACACTCATTAACATCATCTGTATCCATGGATACGTGGGGGGCGCTGAATAACTGTGGATCAGTAGCCACTAGACAGGGAACAAACAGCTCTTGAAAAGTAAGAATATGGCAGAAATAAAAAAGTTCAACAGAAATGTTGGATAATAATGTTGAAGATTTCTAGAAATTAGGACAAAACAACAAATAATGAAGAATCTAGAAGAGACAGGAAAATTATACAAGATAAGCCCAAATAACACAATATCCAAATAATGGGCATTACAAAATGAAAGAGGAGACAAAAGTATAAGGATATACTTTCAGAGACTACCCTGGCGGTCCTGTGCTTCAGACTCTGCACTTCCACTGTAGGGAGTGTAGGTTTGATCCCTGGTCAGGGAGCTAAGATCCCATATACCTAGTGATGTGGCCCAAAATTGAATGGAAAAAAAGGAAATATTATCATAAGTTTTCTAGAATTGAAGGATATAAGTTTCCAAAAGGATGGATGAAAACAGACCCACACCAAGGCATGTCATCATGAGATTTGAAAACCCTGGGAGAAAAAGACAATCCTACAAGCTTCCGGGGTGGGGGGCAGGGGATGTTTTCACACAATGTATCAGAATACAATAAATAAAGAGATGGGAATACCAGACCACCTAACCTGCCTCCTGGGAAACCTGTATGCAGGTCAAGAAGCAACAGTTAGAACTGGACATGGAACAATGGACTGGTTCCAAGTTGGGAAAGGAGTATGTCAAAGCTGTATAGTCACCCTGCTTATTTAACTTATATGCAGAGTACATCATGCAAAATGCCAGGCTGGATAGAGCACAAGCTGGAATCAAGATTGTGGGGCGAAATATCAATAACCTCAGATATGCAGATGATACCACACTCACAGCAGAAAGCAAAGAGAAACTAAAGAGCCTCTTCTTGATGAAAGTGAAAGAGGAGAGTGAAAAAGCTGGCGTAAAACTCAGCATTCAAAAGACGCAGATCATAGCAGCCAATCCCATCACTTCATGGCAAATAGATATGAAAACAGTGGCAGACTTTATTTTCTTGGGCTCCAAAATCACTCCGGACAGTGACTGTAGCCATGAAATTAAAAGATGCTTGCACCTTGGAAGAAAAGCAATAACCTAGACAATGTATTAAAAAACAGAGACATTACTTGGCCTACAAAGGTCCATATAGTCAAAGCTATGGTTTTTCCAGTAATTATGTACGTGAGAGCTGGACAATAAAAAAGGTTTGGGCAAACTCTGGGAGATAGATAGTGAAGGACAGGAAAGCCTGGTGCTCAGCCTTTTTTATTGTCCAGCCTGGCGTGCTTCAGTCCACGGGTTACAGAGACTCGGACATGACTGAGCAACTGAACGACAACAATCAAAATGACATCAGGCCTCTCAACCCATAGCAGTTCTGGAATCTAGAAACCCATGGAAGAGAGCCTTCAAAGTTCTGAAGAAAAGGAATTTCTAGCCTAGAATTTACCATCTAGAAAATTTTAAAGTAAAACAAAGGCAACTATGAAGGATTCAAAATACTCTCCTCCCGTGCACCCTTCCTCGGGGAGCTGTTAGAGAATGTGTTGCTGTTGTTTCGCCCCTAAGCCGTGTCTGGCTGTTCTGTGAGCCCGTGGACTGTGGGCTCCTCTGGGTACCAGTCACCAAAAGAGTAAAGCCAGAAGGAGGGAGGATTGGATTCGGGAGGCAAGGACTTCAAGGATGCAAGAGGGAAGTGTTAAAAGATAAAATGAGGCATATTAAAAAGAGTCTATTTGAGCAAAACAACTTTATTCATATCTTACAGTGTCAAACCAGAAGTAGTTAGGAATGCTCTCGCAACCGGAGCCCAGAGATAGACATATACAGGAAGATTGGAGGCAAAGAAAGGAAATTATTTGATTGGCTATAAACCCTAGTTGACTGTGACTGGTTGTCCTTAGTATTTTGATTCATAACCTTGTAAAAACTTAGATTTTTGTTGGCTTCCATGGGCTAAGAAAGACAGATAAGATTGTTGGATGGCATCACTAACTCAATGGACATGAGTTTGAACAAGCTCTGGGAGTTGGTGATGGACAGGGAAGCTTGGCATGCTGCAGTCCATGGGATCACAAAGAGTCGGACATGACTGAGGGACTGGACTGAACTGATATGATATCACTTTATGTGCCATGCTAAGTCGCTTCAGTCGTGTCCGACTCTGTGCGACCCTGTGAACTGTACCCTGCCAGGCTCCTCTGTCCATGGGATTCTCCAGGCAAGAATACTGGAATTGATTGCCATTCCCTTCTCCAGGGAACCTTCCCTACCCAGGGATCGAACCAGCATGTCTTAGGCCTAACCCTCTTTGGCAGGCAGGTTCTTTAACACTAGTGCCACCTGGAAAGCCCAATATCACTTTATATTTAGAATCTAAAATATGATACAAATGAACCTATTATGAAATAGAAACAGACTCATGGACATAGAGAACAGACTGGTGGTTGCCATGTGGGGAGAAGGCTGGGGAGGGGATGGAATGGGAGGCTGGGGTTAGCAGATGTAAGCTTTCATATACAGTATGAATAAACTAGGTCCTACTGTATCGCCCTGGGAACAATAGTCAACATCCTGTGATAAGCCATTATGGAAAAGAATTTTAAGAAAAAATGTGCATATATGTATAACTGAATCACTTCGCTGTATCGCAGAAGTTACCACAACATTGTAAATCAACTATACTTCAATAAAATTTTTTAAAAAGAAAAAACATGGTGCTAGGGTGTGCAAACCATGCCTGACCTCAAAGCCCCAAATCCATGGCCACCTTTAAGCGTGCGTAGTAAGCGTGGTAGTGACGGTGTCAGCTCGTACAGATTTGGACCCACTCCTGGGTTCAGTTTTCATCACTCCAGGGGGCATCCACCCTGATGAACCTTTCAAACCTCAAGATGGAACTTGATTAAAGGAGAAACAGAAGAACGTAGTAAACATGAAGTGGCCGCCATGCATGTCTGTAGACCCTTTGAAGTTTCAAACCTCTCTGCAAAGCTGTGTGGGTTTGTCCAGGGGTCAGTGTTATTTTCCTCTGTTAGAAGGATGACAGAGATGAGTTTGATGTATTTTGTTGCCTATATTATTATTTTGTTTTAGCCCATTTCAATGGACCATGAATTTTTTTAAAAACCAAAGGAAATATCAAGTGCTCTTTGATGGTCACTAAAGCTTGGGAAAATACTGTATAAATTCACTGGCAGATGGTAGGAAAGCTGTATTTACCGGTCAAAGTTTTTGTTTTTGTGCTCGATGCCCAGAACAATTTGCTGTTCTGAAATATAACACGAGTAAAACTGCTGAGTGTTTATATTTCTCTGGTGAAATCACAGCAAATCGTTGAGTAGAGGTTTAAATCATGAATTAATTATAGTGAACAGAATGTTTTGCATTCTTTGCTAGAAGCTAAGAATAATGATTGGATGAAGTCCCATTAACATTTACTGTGGACTAACTCAGTGGGTAAGGTATTGGTATATGTGTTTGCTTTTTCTTTCAATGATGTGTTGAGATATTAAACCATCTGTTCTTGTGCATAAACGTTTTCCTGGGATTCAGATGAGATTATGGGATATGATATGGTTCTACGATTATTATAGGGTGATCAGACTGTTTATAATAAAATCTTACATTAGGGGCCTTTTAATGATCCTTAAAAGGAAATCACCCCAGGCTTCAATGTTGGCAAAACATCTCCTCTTGGAGGCATATTGTTGTTTACAAATGTTGGTATGGTTCATTTTAATCATCGAATTCCTAAATTAAATGTAAATTTTCTAGGTCAAGATGATACTTTTGTTCTTACATGTACTATAATTCATTTTGAAGATTAATTCTAAGACTAATTCCTAATTACTTTTCATTTATTATTATTTCATTATCACCAAATAGAAATATTCATAAGAAAAGTTATAAGCCCATAACTGACCCCTGTGCAGAATAATGGTTTTAAACTCAATAAAAGTCACATGTACATGTTTAGAATATGAATGTATATAAAAATAAATAGCATCAGTCACATTTCTGAACATTTTCGGAGCACTCTAGGTATGAATTTGTGAGCAGAATTTTAGGATTTACAGTTTATCTAGCAGAAGATTTCCTTCTGGGGAAAAAAAAATTTACATCACTGATTCTCACCCACTCTCCACACAATACGCTTGAGTAATATGACAGGGTCCCATAAAAGAGTGGCATCTCCTCACTGGTAAGGAGTGAAAGAGGGGGTAGGAGAAGGGATTACATGTGAGTATCACCAAGGGGAGCCCCTAACTGCTTTTAACACTGTTCTCTTGGACTCTTCGCCCTTCACTTCACTCTGCTGAGAATCACAGATTGAAACAGATTTAATCCTGATGGACAGCTTTTCACTTGCTTTCTCCAGTTGCAAATTTCAAATAACTTTGCTTGCATTTTCAAGTTTCTAAGTACTTTAACACAAACATATTTTTATATCTAGAAGGGATAATGTGCACATTTTAAAATTCATTTACTGATTCTCTTTTCTTTGCATACAAATTGAGCTTGCACTAACAGTTGTTATAAAATGAGACTTGTACAGTAATGGGTGAATCCTGAATATAAAGGTGTGACTATTCTATCCTCATTATTACAGCACCATCCAGTAGAAAACCAGGAGACCCCCTGGTTATATCAGATATCAAGAAAGGCAGTGTGGCACACAGGTAAGAAAGATGGATTTACTGGTTCATCCCAAGGATTTCTTAATTACAGCAGAAATGACTTCTTCCATACACGAGACAACCTTGTTAATGGACCAGGGTATTCTCAGTATTTTCCAGGCAGCCACAATTAATTGATCATATTTGACATCCCTGTCAATGGCAGGTAGAGCTTTTCCTCAGTGTCACTTTATTTTTGCACCTAGTGCAGACGACCATCACCTAAAGATGCTTTTTAGGGTCTTTCATGAGTCCAACATAGCCTTTCCTTCACTGATCATCTTCCACCCTTCACTTTTCCAGCTAAAAAACTGAAAGTGGCCCCAATTATGAGAGTCACCTCACATGCAAGTAAGAGATTTGGGGAGAGTTTTACTAGATGCTAAAACATCCTCCCTAGTCAAGCCAACATCCTCCCTTGAGCCTCAAACAATGTGTATGTCTCCTATTTGATCCACTGACCTTGAAAATCAAGGACTCTTAAACTTTCAGTTTCACAGATCAAAATATTTTTAATTGATTAGGAATACTGATGTAAGACTATTAACTTTCTTTTTGTTTTTCAGTTAAGGAATTTACAAATCTCATCTATTGTTACAGTCGTTTCATTAGAGGAACATTTTAATACTCAAAACGTAGGAAGGGCATTAGTTTAGGTGTGTAGGTACAGGTTCAGATACTGTGATAAAGAAACTCATAAATAGTTTGTTTCTCGTACAGTAGGCAGCACAGGCCTGGAGAAGCACATCTGCCAGTCCTTCCAGCTTGCTCTGGTTGTTGTGATTTTCCAACCCTAGACCGGAGGAGGGGTGGTGCCCAGAGAGTCTGGCATGTGCATCTTTAGGGGACGACCCAGAAAAAGGAAAGGGAGAATGGAGAGTGGGAAGCAGCTAGCAATCAGAATCATAGATATAATGCACAAAGGATGGTTCTTACCAAAACATAACCTTCCTTACAAATATGTGTGCATATACATATAGAAGCACCTATAAGCAAATATACATTCTCACTGTTTTTCTCATCTCATGATAGACCTTAAAAACTTCCAAGGCCTGCAGCAGTCCGTAACCAGTATGAGACCCTCAGTGGTCGTTTTCCAGTTCAGTTTTCTCCCCACTGCAGCCACAGTGAGTCGCCTGGTGCAGGTGGAAATGCAGAGACCCCAAAACTCAGACCTCCCCTAGGTCATTCCACCTGACTCCCCTCACTTCCTCCACCCTCGCCTATGTCTGGACTGCCGAGGACCAAAGTTGGTGCAACAACGCAAAGAATCATAAGGACACCTGAGACGTGTAAACCCAGGCTCATTACGCACCTTCCTGGGAACCTCGGAATTCCTGGATGACACTGGAATGGTTGTCCTGATCGAATGAAAGAAAGCAGAATAAAAATGTTTCTTAATAATCTGCAATTGAATGTCACAGCAGCCATCCAAAATAAGACTGGAGAAAGGGATATGTCAATAAAATGCGATTTTTCAAAGTTGAAGAATCATATTTCCCCTAAAGACTACCATAATGCTACTTTATGCAGAATGCCTTTTAAATAACCTGGTGAAGTGTTCATCATTAACCATGCATTTGCTATGCCTTTACTAACAGAACGGGAACCTTGGAACTTGGGGATAAGTTACTAGCCATAGATAACATCCGGCTGGACAACTGTTCCATGGAAGATGCAGTTCAGATCCTCCAGCAGTGTGAAGACCTGGTGAAGCTCAAAATCCGCAAAGATGAAGATAATTCAGGTACTGATCATCTCCGCAGTTAAGACTGATTTCTCTAACTGCCCATCTGCCACCAAAGATATTAGATCTTGGTGTTTTACATACAACAGCTGGCTGCTGACTTTGCAGCAGTGTTTTCTGTAGTTAAGAGGGTCTTTAAATTGGGCGTTAAGAGTGTAGTTTGAACTTTAAATAATAGGGTTTTTAATGATATAATTAAGATATTTACATTATATAAATGTTACAGCTGTATTAAAATAATTTTTAAAGATGAAAAGTAAATCATCACCCAATACCACCCTAATGGAATAGAAGTAGTCATTTTCTAGTTGATGTTATATTACATAATAACAACTGCAGTGCATGTTCTATTTTTTGTGTGGCTATATATACATGGTACCACTTTACAAATCCTTAACAGCTATTATTTTAATTTACTGCCCATAATTTATTTACCTTTCTTTTCTTCTCACTTAGATTACTCCCATTTGTTTCATTACTGTAGGTGGCACAATCATGGGTATTTTTATGTGTAGATATCTTTATTCAACTTGTCTTCTTTTGAATTATTTCTTTAGGAAATATTCCTAAATAGTAGGATGGCTGAGTCAAAATAAAAAGGGAATTTTTATGATTCCTGATGAGTCTTGTACCATGTTGCTTTCTTAAAGGGCTATATCCATTTTTAGTGCTTCCAGTAATGTGTGAATACAGGGGTGCAGTGCGTCTCAAACTTGAGAAGGCCTCAGATCACCTGAAGACCTTGTTAAAACACAGTCCCTGAGCGCTAACCCCAGGTGGGGACTGAGACTCTCATTTCTAGCAAACTTCATTTTGATGCTGCTGTGGCCAAGACTCAGTAATCTGAGTAGCCCCCTATGGATGCCCTTTTATCTGATTTGGATAAGAACCCAAGCTAATCAAAACAAGAGCCAACTAACATGGGGATTTCTAAAAAGTGACATATATCTATAACATAAACATTTAATTTAAAAATGTACCCATCTTATGGGTGAAGCCAACACTTTTCTGCTGACTATAGTTACAAATCTTTCAACTTCTTTGCCTAAGTCATACCCATAATATAGTTTAAGATTTCTAGGTTTTGGGGGGGGGGGGGTTGTGTTGTTTTGCTTTAATACAGTGAGAATTTAAAGAACTTAAAGCAATCTGAATGCTTACTCCAACTAGATTTTTATCTCCCTAATGTTTTCAAGTTTCCCCTCTATTGAATTATTAGTTGATTTTTGCCTATTAATCCCCTTTATTGAATCTTTCCAAAGCATTTGACTTTTTCATAGTTCCAGTATACTCATATTTCATAGGTTATATAAGATTCATCAAATTATACAGTTAAAATAACAAGTGAAACTGGCAGAAACGGTCTTGGGAATAAACCTAATTGACTCTAAATGTTAAGCTTTTGACTCAATTGGTAGCAGAAACAGAGGTACATGGGGTGCTATTGATACAAAGGGAAACATTATTCTGAAGTGTCCTGCAATCTCTTGGAATCTAATCCTCTAGATCCAGAGTTCACAGTCACATCAGGCCATGTGTTTGTGATTACTATTCAGAGCCAAAACAAGTTGGTAATTACACCCCTTCAGTACCACTGGTAAGGATAATTATATCCAAATATATTTTATAATGAACCTTTAAAAATATGCACAGATTTCTTCTAGTTATTTCACAAGCAACTGACTTTCCTCACCAACATTTGCATTTCTCTCCTAACAAGCGTACCTCAATGGTACTTTTGGGGGAGGATTTGTTTTATTTTTATTTTATTTTTTTTTTATTTTTTATTAGTTGGAGGCCAATCACTCCACAATATTGCAGTGGTTCTCATCATACATTGACATGAATCAGCCATGGATTTACATGTATTCCCCATCCCGGTCCCCCCTCCCACCTCCCTCCCCACCCCATTCCTCTGGGTCTTCCCAGTGCACCAGGTCTGAGCACTTGTCTCATGCATCCAACCTGGGCTGGTGATCTATTTCACCCTAGATAATATACATATTTCGATGCTGTTCTCTTGAAACATCCCACCCTCGCCTTCTCCCACAGAGTCCAAAAGTCTGTTCTATACATCTGAGTCTCTTTTTCTGTTTTGCATATAGGGTTATCATTAGTGTCTTTCTAAATTCCATATATATGTGTTAGTATACTGTAATGGATTTGTTTTAAAAGAAGGATAAAGCCTCCAGAGTCAGGCTGGGTTCTGTCCTAGTGAAGAGGCAAAGCCCTGTGGAGAAACCCATTTTGCATGATTTGCAAAGCTAAGCAGATCTTAGCTACCTTCCTTGCGGAGAGCAGAAGCCAAGCCGGCGATGAATATGTATGATGTTTGTGGCTGGCAGTGCCCCCAGTTCCAAAGCCAGGCAATGCAGACACACACTGAGAAGTTTCAGAAACAGCTGAGCACTTGGAGAGCCACGTCTTAATTCAGTTGCTTCTTTCCTTTGGCTCATTTTCCCCCCTTCTAGTCCTTTCCCCTTGCAATCCTTATGCCTAATACTATGGTAAGGATCATGCTTGTTAGGTACTTTTTTAAAATTTATAAGTGGTTGCAGTTTTTTAAATCTTAAAATCTTCCATTGAAAACCATTCACCTAAAAAAGAAAAAAAGAAAACCATTCACCTAACCAAAATAAGACTGTAAATATAGGTATTAAGAGATATTTACCCAAACCAGGTTTTCTCAAGTCAGCATACTGAAACCTATACTCACACACATTTTTATAACAGACCGCTAACTGAACATTATCATCTGATCATTTATTTGGAAGAATTTGAGTGTTTCCATATCCTTTTCCACCATGAGAATACAAGTATAATTTGAGTAACCAGTTCTTTTTTATTCAGAGCAAAGCAAGGAGGGGATTATTCAATGCAAAATTTGGACATCGACTGGTTCAAGGCCGACTACATAGTCATAAAGAGCTCACACTCTTAAATCAGACCTGTGTTTGAAGTTCAGTTCTACTACACTTGAGCTGCATGAGTCTGGGCAAGTTACTTAACCTGCCTGAGATTTGGTTGTACTTTCAGTAATATGTGCAAAATAATACCCACCTGGGGTGCTGCTGTGGCTAGTTGAGAGATTTACTGGCACAGTCAGTATGCAGTAACTTGAGACTATTTTATTATTATTATTATATTCTGAAATGCTTTTCCCCACATTAGTTCTGATCCTAGGTCAAGATATAAATGAGTGGAAAATAAGCACTATTCATGACAATAGTCACTGATTTTGAAAGTTTGACACTGTGCTTAATCTGAAATTAAGCTGGTGATTTAAAATTGAAGGCAGGAGGAGAAGGGGACGGCAGAGGATGAGATGGTTGGATGGCATCACTGACTCGATGGACATGAGTTTGAGCAAGCTCCGGGAGCTGCTAATAGACAGGGAAGCCTGACACTCTCCAGGCTGTGGGGTCACAAAGAGTCGGACACAACTGAGTGACTGAACTGAACGGACACTGCTTAATCTGAAATTAAGCTGGTGATTTAAATTGTCTCAATATCTGTCTCAACCCTTTGTCTCAATATTTGAATTGTAATCAGAATGGTAATAGGCAGTATATATTCTTCACTCTCTAAAATATTACTTACACAAATATTGGACTTTCTATACCAGTAGACTTCAGGAGTCCTCCAGTTCTCTTTTTCTTTATTTCTCCTATTTTGTTTGGTTGAGCAGGCTCTTCACTGCTGCACGTGGGCTTTCTCTAGCTGCAGTGATCGGGGCTACTCTTGGCTGTGGTACGCCTCTCGTGGTAGTGGCTTTTCTTGTTGCAGAGCGCAGGATCGAGGGGCATGGACTTCAGTAGCTGTGCCTCAGGGCCTCAGTAGTTGTGGCTTTTGGGGGCCCTAGAGCTCAAGGCCTCCGGTAGTTGTGGTATATGGGCTTAAGTTGCCCGCAACATGCGAAATCTTCCCAGACCAGGGATCGAACCCATTCCCCCTGCATTGGCAGGCAGATTTCTATCCACTGTACACCAAGGAAACTCCCAGTTCTTTCCTTAACTGTCTGCTCCTCTCTATCCTTGGTTCTGTCATCAGTTACAGAAAATTTATCATCGTACTTGATATCACTTGGTTTCCTAAACTAGTAATTCTGTAGTTGAGTTTAACAGATGTTGCTTCAAAATGTACGTGTGTCTTCCAGCTGCACCAGTTTCATTGCTCTGTCTTGCAGTTTACCCAGGGAGATGGCAGAACTATTTTCAAACATTGTTAAAGTGTTCATTTCTCATTCAGTCATGCCACTGGCATTTACCTAGTGTCTGTAAGGTACTAGGGACTGGCAGCCCTTAGATTAAAAAGGACACAATCTCTGCCCTTAAATCAGTTACCACCTTATAGAGAAACAGAAGAAAATAATTAGCAGTATGATGAATGTTCCAGGTGTACAAAATGTTAAGAGAATATGAAGGCACCCATTTGAGACTGGGGAACTCAAGTAACTGCTTGTAGCAATCCTGATCTCGAAGGTATTTGGGAGGTGTTATTAAAAATTAACAAGAGGAAGAGTAGAAACCAACGGAAGTCAGAGAGCGTGGCACATCTTAGTAGCACATACACCTGAAGCAGAAAGTTTGTGCAAGAACGCGGTAGTAGGTGAGTAGACAGATACACTGAAGCCAGATCATTATGGTCCTTCAGAGTACATCATGAGAAACGCTGGGCTGGAAGAAGCACAAGCTGGAATCAAGACTGCTGGGAGAAATAACAATAACCTCAGATATGCAGATGACACCACCCTTATGGCAGAAAGTGAAGAAGAACTAAAAAGCCTCTTGATGAAACTGAAAGAGAAGAGTGAAAAAGTTGGCTTAAAGCTTAACATTCAGAAAACTAAGATCATGGCATCTGGTCCCATCACCTCATGGGAAATAGATGGGGAGACAGTGGAAACAGTGTCAGACTTCATTTTGGGGGGCTCCAAAATCACTGCAGATGGTGACTGCAGCCATGAAATTAAAAGACCCTTACTCCTTGGAAGGAAAGTT